AGGATCTCAGTGATACATGTCCCCATTGCAGTGACCAGCACCTTCATCCATCCACTTGCTTCTACCAAAGCCTGGAACTCATTCTTCTTATGTCCCTCTCCCCAACTCCTTAAATCTACCAACATCCTGTTACATCTACTTCCTAACTTTAAATTCTCTACTTTTTCCATTTTCATTGTGAAAGTATCCTCACTTATTAGCTGAACTAATATAATAACCTCCTTAACTGCTCCCTGAAAGGGTCTCTGGGTGGTCCAAATGGCTAACTCACTTGGCTACAAACCAAAAGGTTGACAGTTTGAATCTACCCAGAGGTGCTTTGGAAGAAAGGCCTGGTAATATACTGCCAATAAATCAGTCACTGAATATCCTATGGAGCACAGTTAGCTCTATTCTGACACATATGTGGTCACAATGAATCTGGGCCAACTATAAGGCAACTGGTTAACTGCTTCCTGCATCCATTCTTTGTCACTCTAATCCAGCTTCTTTCAGCAGCCAATGTGGTCTTCAAATGCAAATCTGATCATTTAGTGCCTGCCCCCTACGTAAACCTTTTAATGGCTGACCATTATTCTGAAAAGGAAACAAACAACTGTGAGTGTGATGAGAGAGAATTAGATGGCTAGACAAATATGTAAGAACTCTTTACTATGCTTGATAATTCCAAGAAAAAAATCAACAACTTCTTTTTCATGTTCTGTCTCATATCCAGTTTTAGCTTAAAGAGCCTTTTAAAAGTGACAAAAGTAATAAATGTCAACTACAGTATAATTTGTGCAATTTGAACATTTATATGGTTGATATGATGTCATTCTTGTAATTTAAGATATATAGCAGAAGTAAATTGTATTATATGAATTCACTGTTCTAAACCCTTGTTACACATGGATTTAATACTCCTCAAAATGAATTCTCTGCTATCATAATTCTTACAGAAAATTGTCCTTCTAGCATATCTTTCATGAATATATTTTGATGATTAAATAACTTTCGAGTCCTTAAATTCAACTGTGATGATATAAAGAAGGATTACTGTGTGATATTGTGTTTTGAAGTTTAAATCTTATTTAAATACTATTTTTAAAATGATTATCTTCTCTCTGTAACTTGTTTTTTCCAAGTCTTAGATTTTCATGATACCATGTCTTTGTTCAAGTTCCACCCACCATAATAGGTGCCAACTCTCCAAACGAAGTCTCAGTTGTCCTCCACCATGACACTACTCTTGAATGCCAGGTCAAAGGAACTCCCTTCCCTGTTATTAACTGGTTCAAAGATGGCAAGTGAGTATCTTTTCTTCATTTCTTAGTGGGGCCGAGTTGATAGAAAGTAGATGTGTGAATTTGTGCCACATAGTGTATTATTAAATAAGCATGAAGGAAAAACAATATTCCTAAAAGAAACATTTTAAATGGTCTTAAAATCTTGTGATAATTTTCATACTTACAAGTTATTTGTTGTTAAGTTCCATGGAGTTGTTCCAACTCATAATGACTCTGTATAGGGTTTCCAAGGAGCAGTTGATGGGTTTGAACCACAGACCTTGTCATTAGCAGTCCAGTGCTTATCCTATAGTACAAATGCTGGAAATTTATTTTATAAACATAAATAGTCTCTGTCCAAAGGAATGAAATGAAATGGAACTGGAATTCTTGTTTTTAAAAAAGCAAATGTGTTTATGACATCAAGATGAAAATAAATGTAGGATCATTTTGTATGTGGAGAAAGAAAGGAACCACAGAAAAGCAGTCAGATCATGCATAGACTATAACTCTTGATGTTTTTCCAGAATGAAAAAGCACCGTGATTTCCTTAGGTTTTGAGAGCTCTTTCATCATACCATGGTCAGTGTTTATGTGTTATTACAGCTTCTAGAGCAAATACTGTAGTAGCATAATGGTTACGAATCGGGCTGCGAACCGCAAGGTCAGCAGTTCGAAACTACCAGCTGCTCCGTGGTAGAAAGATGAGGCTTTCTGCTCCCATAAAGATTTATAGCCTTGGAAACCTTGTTCAGGTTCGCTATGGGTCAGAACTGACTCGATGGCATTTAACAACAAAGCAAAGGGTAAATACTTGCAGCATATTCAGTGAAGGATTACATTCATGCTTTTTGCAAGCTCTGGTAGCGTAGTGGTTACGAATCGGGCTGCAAACCTTAAGGTCAGCGGTTCGAAACTACCAGCCGCTCCGCGGGAGAAAGATGAGGCTTTCTACTCCCGTAAAGATTTACACCCTCGGAAACCCTGTACAGGGTCGCTATGGGTCAGACCCGACTCGATGGCACTTAACAACAAGAAAAGACTAACAACAATATATCAAAATGTATGGAGATGAATTAGCAATTCAAAAAAAAAAAAAAAGAAAAGAACTATAATTAGGTAATAACTATACCAAAAGCTGTTCATCCTTAAAAATTCTGGAAATGTAGATGAAAATAGTTAAGATTTTCTTCTTTACAGGTCAGATTGTTGTTGTTGTTACGTGCCTTGGAGTCGGTTCCGACTCATAGCGACCCTGCACAGGGTTTCCGAGGCTGTTAATCTTTATGGGTCAGATTAGCCAAGAAATAGTAAAATGGGATGGGGGAGGGTGTTAAAAATATCACGTTTCAGCTGGTGGTGGTTGTGTTGTGCTGTGGAGTCGATTCTGACTCATAATGACCCTGTACAGGGTTTCAGAGGCTGTAAATCTTTATGGGAGCAGAACAACTCATCTTTCTTCCATGAAACAGCTGGTTGTTTCGAACTGCTGACCTTGAGGTTAGCAGTCCAATTCATAACCACTGCGCTACCAGAGCGCCTTAAGTTTTGACAAGTTTTAACTAGTGTGTTGAAAATTGGAATGGAAGAATGTAAATTAGTACCCTGAAGGGCAGTTTGTTAATGTCTATTAAAATTGGAAATGTTCATATACTGTGGTCTAATAATTTTACTCTGAGAATCTACTAAAGAGAAGTAGCCATGCATGTCCACAGAGAAGCTTGTATAATGATATTTACTAAAACACTGCAATGGCAGACAAGTAAAACCTGCCTAAACACTAGCCATTGTGGTATGGTGAGATAATTTATTATAAGATGCAGTGAAACGTTGTGTAGCACTAAAAGAGGAAACTCAAAGTATCAAAAATGTCTCCGTAACTGTCATTGAGTGAAAAGAAACGCAGAGCAATAACATGATATTATCTATGTATTACAATTTTAGATTTCTTTAGTAATTGTTGTTGTTAAGTGCTGTTGAATCGGTTCTGACCCATAGCGACCCTGTACAGGGTTTCCCAGGGTGTAAATCTTTACGGGAGTAGAAAGCCTCATCTTTCTCCCGCGGAGCGGCTGGTAGTTTCGAACCGCTGACCCTAAGGTTCGCAGCCCAATTCGTAACCACTACGCTACCAGAGATAAATGAATAAAATTCATAGAAAAGTGTGGAAGAAATCAAATTGATAGTGGTAAGAAGATTCTAGAGAGAAGACGCACATTAGGGGCAGTGAATATCAGGGAAAATAAGAGATCAACTCTTATTGTGTGGCTTAAAAACTGTCTTTTACTTGTATTTTTATATTTCTTGCATAACTAACACTAAATAAAAATGTATTTACTTAGCTTTGAGTAACATTGTCAAGTACTCACATCCTTTAAAGAACTGAAATGGATTAAGATAAGGTACATTATTTTCTTAACTCTTGAGACTTTTATTTAAAGAAATATTTCAAGAATTAGAGGCTACCCTCGAAAACTAAATGTTTTACATTTAATCATATAGTCTGACTGTTATAGTTAAGAGCCATCCAGTGGGCTGTGACTCATAGCAACCTTTTATAAGTTTTCTGAGGATTTAAATCTTTACGGGAGCAGAAAACCTCATCTTTCTCAGATAATCTGACTACTGGCTAATTTATCTAACAAAGCACCTATTTATTTATCATGTGGATAATTCAGTGAAACTTTAAAACAAAATCAGCTATAAGTCTTACTGAAAGAGATAAATGTTTTTTTAAAGTATTAGTCTTAGGGTTCATATATATTAATAATAACCATGATGTTTCAAGTATTGAAATTAAGTTCTGCCAACTATACAAAGTGATCATTTTATGGTGGCAACTGATAATAGTGCAAAAAGATTCTTGACAATTAAATACTAGCTACATTTGATCTTTCCAAGTTCTTTTAATATTTATGATAAAAAAGTATTAATATTCATTAACATACCTATTGAAAAAAAATTATGATCATTGTCTTTTGTAAATACTAATAATCTACTTAATTGTCTCAAATATTATAATGATCTATCTTGGCCTGAAACTATTATACTATAATATTAAAGTCTTAATTTCTCTTTTCTAAATGATGATATAAATTTTGGCAAATAGAAGATGGTATGAATGAATGAAACAAATAATGATGCTTTGAAGTTTTTGTTAATATGAACACTATTAAACAATTTAAGTCTTAAATGGAGAAACTTCATCTAAAAGTGATAATCATCTAACTTCCTTAAAAGTTATTTAAGAATTTTATTCTTATGAATAGGAGTTACCTATCACGTCACTTTTTAAAACCAACTTTGGTTTGTATTTTTTGCTTCATATATTTTGTTTTTATTGTGATTGCTGAGAGAGAAAACATGCTGAAGTAAAAATAGACCCATGGAGTCAAATATCATTTTCCCTAGGCCTTTGTTTTTGGGAGACCCAAATATTGAACTTCTAGACAGAGGACAAACTTTACATCTAAAGAATGCACGAAGAAGTGACAAGGGACGTTACCAGTGTGCAGTGTCTAATGCAGCTGGCAAACAAGCCAAGGATATAAAACTGACTATCTATAGTAAGTGTGACTTTTTTCTTACACTTTCTTACTTTTACAAACTCTCGTCATAAATTTTAAATCATTAACTCTAATAATAACAGCTTTTATTCACTACTGAACATTTGGAATGCTGCCACTATAGGAGCAAAAAGAGCTTTAGAATATTTTAAAGTATTTTTGGTGCACCTGACTCAAGCCACAGTATTTTCAATCATCTTACATGCATACAAAAGCTGGGTAATGGATAAGGAAGACCAAAGAAGAGTCGATGCCTTTGAATTATGGTGTTGAAATATGTCATGGAATGCCAAAACATAAACAAATCTGTGTTGGAAGAAGTGCAGCTAGAACGCTCCTAGAAGGGAGATGGTGAGACTTTTGTCTCATGTACTTTGGGCATGTTATCAGGAGGGACAAGTCACTGGAGAAGAACAGCATGCTTGGTAAAATTAAAGGGTCAGAGAAAAGAGAAAGAGCTTCAAAGAGATGTATTGACACAGTAGCTGCAACACTGGTCTGAAGGAACAGTGAGGATGGTGCAGGACTGGGCCTGTTTCATTTTGTTGTGTATAGGGTCGGTATGATTGGAACTAATTCAAGAGCCCTCAACAACAATAACAACAGTATCATTGTTGCTAGTTACCATCAGGTTGACTCTGATGCCATGTGTGTAGGGTAGAACTGTTCCTTAGGGTTTTCAAAGCTGGGACCTTTTGGAAGCAGATTGCCAAGACTCTCTCCCAAGGTATTCTAAATAGGTTTGATCTGCTAACCTTTTGGCTAACTAACAGTTGAGTGTTTAGGTATTTCTTCAAGTTATCTGGTGATTTTTATATGATCTTACTTTAAAAGTCAACTGTTTTCTAATTAGCTATGTTATACGTAGATCACATGTTTATCCAACTGTGGTTCACTACAGTTTGCTATGTCCTCTGTAGAAAGTGATGGCCAAAGCTCTATTATTTCATGAGCGGAATCATAGGAGAGTCCAGGAACACCCTAGCACAGGGATTTATACACTAGACAAGAATATAATTCAATAGGCAGGTTGTATTGACTGTGGCTCTATTCACTGCCCTACTTTCAGTCCATTCATCAAGGATGACACTCAAGGAAACATTAAATACTTCAGAATGTCACCTCACTACAGGGATCTTCCCAATCCAAAGCTTTTACATTTGATCTTTTCTCTCTCTCATTGTTTTTGTTCTTTTTCTTCACAGCACATATCACTGTTTGAAAGGGAGTTGCTTATTTTGGGGTTTATGTGTTTATAAGATGTTTCTCCTCAAGGAAGAGTGTTGCTTTCATGTCACTACTACACAAAACAAGAACAACTATTGTCTTAACCCCATTAATGTCTGCTTCATTCCAACTCACAGAAACCTAATAGGACAAAATAGAAGTACCCCATGGGTTTCATAAACTATGGGTTTGCATTGGAAAGCTCACCACAAGGTCAGAAGTTTGAATTGACCAGTTGCTGATCAGGAAAAAGATGAGAGGTTTCTGCTCCCTTAACGATTTATAGCCTCAAAACCCCTATTCAGGGTCACTGTGAGTTGGAATGGACTCAGTGGCATGCAGCAAGAACAACAGTAGCAGCAGCAAATCTTTATAGAAACAGATAGTCGTCACATCTTTCTCTGTGGAGTGATGGGTAGTTTTGAACCACTGATCTTTCAGTTAGTCGCCAAGTGCTTAATCACTGTACCACCAGGAATCCCATACCATACCCTTGGTTGTGCTGGTTGTGTGCCACCGAGTAGGTTCCAACTCATAACGACCCTGTATAGGGTTTCCAAGGCTGTAAATCTCTATGGGAGCAGAAAACCTCATTTTTCTCACATTGAGCTACTGATAGAATTGAACTGCTGACCTTGCTGTTAGCAGCACAGCTTGTAATCCATTATGCTACCTGGGCTCCTTACACCATAGCTTTTGTCCCTAGTTAAGAGTCTTGGGCCATAATAGCTCTTAAAAATTTACAAAATGAGCAAAAGATACAGTGTTACACTGTGGCTACCAAACACTTGAACTCTGTGGCTAGTTCATATTGAGATGCATTTTAAGTGTAAGCACCAAATGTTGTTATTGTGTGTCACCTAATCAATTTTCAAGTCATAGTGAATGAACTCTGTATGACAGAGTAAAACTGTAATTTTTACAAAAACAGATCAGCAGGCCTTTCTCCTGAAGACCTACTGGCTTGGTTGGTTGGAACAGCCAACCTTTTCAGTAACATTGAGTGTTTAACCACTGCACCATGAAGACTTCAGATAGGTATCACGTATCAAATACACACAGATAATGAAGATTTAATAATGTAAAAATATGTAAATTATCAAATA